TTAGGAAAAAAATAAAATTTTACATGAAACATATACTTAAACATTATTACTATATAGGCATATGATTTTTTTAAAATAAATAAATATTACGCGTTGGACGCAAGTCGCGATCCCGGGTCTCGCGAATATTGTAAGTAAAACACCAAGTATATTTTTCTTTAATTCTTCTGATAGGCCAATTTCTTTTCATATGTTTGCAAAATCAGTATTTGTCCACGTGTAATTACAATCTTTTTGTTAACATTATTTTTCAACATGGTTATGATAATCGTAAATTTAATTTGTGCTGAGCGGTTAGTCGGGAATTAGGGAATGCCGAATTCGATTATTTTTCTCCATTAAAATGTCTAAAATTTAAATGAATACCATGACTATATCTGATTTTATTTTATGGTAATTCCTTTTTTTTCGTTTTGTCAATTTAATTCCTAAATATTAAAAAAACTGAGAGTTGCAGGATAGGATAGGATAGGATTAGACTGAAATTACAGGATAGGATTGTGGATGCAGGATTCACGATAGAATAGGATAGAATTGTCAACTTTTATGATAGCAGCACTGTACAGGGAGCCTGAGTCGAAGAACCAAAGTCCCAAACATAGGTCATCCCTGGGGTTGCTATAGATGTGGGGAGTCTTGTGATTTATTCAATAATTGTAGAGTCAGAAATCAGTTGGCTACGCAGTTCATCACACAAGCTGCCAAGAAGAGAAGTTGAAGAGAAGCTGAATAAGAACATGACAATGTAGGAACAGCGCGAACACAGACCTCCGAACCATCCGAGGTGGGATCAGGAGAATCTGTTATCAAAAGGACAGGTCTTTACATCTCACAGTGCGAGTTAAACCCGCGACATGAGGATCTACTTACTCCTTAATGTAACGGATATAAACAAAAAATCAAAAGCACACTGAAAGCTTTGTCCTCTCAGGATGTAAACTGAGGAAATGATTTCCTATGCTTATCAAACCGAATAATTATTGCACGATCTCTCTGAGAGATTTCAGTAGGAACGAGGCAAATCGTTCTTCAACTATTCGTGATATTTTTAAAGGGGTTCTTTTCGTTTCAGACCTCATGGGAATGGATGGTTTTTAGCTCACTTGAGCCGAAGGCTAGAAAGGTTTAACCTACATTGGATGAATAGTTCACAAGATCACTGACGGAATAAAAAGGGCTATATCCTGTTATCTGCAACGCGTTGCGTATAAGTTTTATGCCAAAAAAAACATATTGAAATAACGAACCCGACCCTTAATACATTAAAATCAGTCATATACTTGAGAAAATAAAGAAAATCATACCGAAATATTAAAAGGCGTCAATTAATATATCAAAATTATAACATGAGGCAGATTGATTACAATATTAATTCTCTGATTCTTGAAAACGTTGCACGCAACGCTCCATAGTAAAATGATCGATTTCTCCATAGAGCGTTGCAAATAACAGGAGTATATATAGGGCGACGAATTTTATTTTCCTGCTATAGAAACTATATAAGTGTACATAAAGGGGAAGTTTCCCCGGGAAGAGGGTTTTCTTGGGGGGTTATCATCAGAAAAAATGGGGCTAGGTTATTTTTGGGGGGATCAAGCTAAAATGAATACATTTGACGGAATAAAGCGCTATATTAATCTGCATGCGTTGCACGCAACGCTCCATAGTAAAATGATCCATTTCTCCATAGAGCGTTGCAAATAACAGGAGTATATATAGGGCGACGAATATCATTTTCTACTAAATAATACTATATAAGTGTACATAAAGGGGAAGATTCCCCGGGAAGAGGGTTTTCTTGGGGGGTATCATCAGAAAAAATGGGGCTAGGTTATTTTTGGGGGGATCAAGCTAAAATGAATACATTAGACGGAATAAAGCGCTATATTAATCTGCATGCGTTGCACGCAACGCTCCATAGTAAAATGATCCATTTCTCCATAGAGCGTTGCAAATAACAGGAGTATATATAGGGCGACGAATTTTATTTTCCTGCTATAGAAACTATATAAGTGTACATAAAGGGGAAGTTTCCCCGGGAAGAGGGTTTTCTTGGGGGGTTATCATCAGAAAAAATGGGGCTAGGTTATTTTTGGGGGGATCAAGCTAAAATGAATACATTAGACGGAATAAAGCGCTATATTAATCTGCATGCGTTGCACGCAACGCTCCATAGTAAAATGATCCATTTCTCCATAGAGCGTTGCAAATAACAGGAGTATATATAGGGCGACGAATTTTATTTTCCTGCTATAGAAACTATATAAGTGTACATAAAGGGGAAGTTTCCCCGGGAAGAGGGTTTTCTTGGGGGGTTATCATCAGAAAAAATGGGGCTAGGTTATTTTTGGGGGGATCAAGCTAAAATGAATACATTTGACGGAATAAAGCGCTATATTAATCTGCATGCGTTGCACGCAACGCTCCATAGTAAAATGATCCATTTCTCCATAGAGCGTTGCAAATAACAGGAGTATATATAGGGCGACGAATTTTATTTTCTACTAAATAATACTATATAAGTGTACATAAAGGGGAAGATTCCCCGGGAAGAGGGTTTTCTTGGGGGGTATCATCAGAAAAAATGGGGCTAGGTTATTTTTGGGGGGATCAAGCTAAAATGAATACATTAGACGGAATAAAGCGCTATATTAATCTGCATGCGTTGCATGCAACGCTCCATAGTAAAATGATCCATTTCTCCATAGAGCGTTGCAAATAACAGGAGTATATATAGGGGCGAAAATTGTGATATGTTACATCCCATTGCAGAGTATTCTTAATAATCTTGTTTTAGCTTCTTGAAGAAGTGGGTGCGATTACGTAGACCATAAAATTATGACATTTTACTGAATAAAGCGCATCTCTATCATGCACCTGCCTTGTCAAGTCTATTGAATAAAATACAGCAAAGAATATATGGTTAAAAAGTGATGCCTTGAAACATACAAGATTAATCAAATATTAAAAGTTTCGAATTTTATTTAATTCACATATTCAATTTTAATCCACTAACTCAGAGTAATACAGGTCAATGTATTACGTAACATTGTCCAATGAATTCAGAAACCCGTTTGAAAGGCACATGAATATAGCGTGAAAGACCACATTTTCTCACATCATGGCATCCAGGAACTCAAGAATTTATCATCTTTGGATGGATATTCAAGACATAATTGGTCCAGCAAATTTATGGCCACGTTCCATTCGTCGTTTGTTTTGGACCAGACCGCTTCGCCACTGGAATAGAATTTTAATATGCACTTTTGCATATGTCAATGGTCTAAATCCAGAGGTTTTAAAGGAATGGATCCAACTAATGCAACTTGTGGATCACGATTATGCTATAAGGCACATCGATAACTTCTTTGGACTGGTGGAGAGAGGCAGGAACTATTCCCTGTACTCATGGAATGTGTCCACTGGACGATATGAATGGCTGGACGGCAGACCTCGAAGATATATTCCACGCCAGGAGAGGTAGTCTATAATAAAATATATATTCCATTAATTTGTTAACTAAATGAATTTTTTTTTATTATTTTCATTAATTTATTCATCCTTCTTTTCAGAAATTGCCAACAGTGATGAAAGACTGAAAAACATCGAATATCTGTGATATCTTAAATATTTTATAAAGTGTTGCATAACAAAAATTGTGTTACTTTTCATTTCTCAGAGAGCAAGAAGGGGGAAAGCATCAGCTTATTCTGCATTAAAATATATTAACTTTGTCCTGGAAGACAAGGAATCATGTGGAGAGAGAGAAAGAGAGAGAATAAAAGCTGCTTATTCCGTAAAACATTAAAATATATTAACGTTGTCCTGGAATATCAAATCAATGTGTGTGTGGAGAGAGAAGCTGCTTATTCCGTAAAAGATTAAAATATATATTAACGCCCTGTATAAGAGAGAGAGAGAGAGAGAGAGCGAGGAGAGAGAGAGAGAAGCTGCTTATTCCGGTAAATATTAAAATACTGACCCCTGGAAGAACAACCCGATTGAGGATATGTTTGTGAGAGAGAGAAGCTGCTTATTCCGTTATATATCAAAATATTGACCGTGGAAGAACAACCCGATTTAGGGTGTGTAGAGAGAGAGAGAGAGAGAGAGAGAGAGAGAGATGCTTATTCCGTAATAAATAAAATTGTGGTATTACTTTCTTTGTCATGCATTTTACACATCCTGGAGGGAAAGGGGGTACCATAAATTTCACAAGCCTCACACCTGTTTCATACCCAGGAATGTTCCAACATTTACATATTTTCTATATAAATATGCACGTGTTTTCTAGTATTTTGACAAATAGGCTAGCATGCGTTGACATTATTCAATATAAAAAAAGCATGTCCATTTTACTATAAATTATCTAAACAGAGAGATATCTGGTTGTTTAGAGAACAGAATATTTTTATTTACAGTAGTCAATAAAACTGTTAATACTTGTTTTGCATTAAAAGTATAATTTGCAGTTAGTAATACATGTATATAACGCATTCGTATACCGGTATTATTGTATTACGGTGTAAAAAAAAATATGAATCAATGTAGATAATTTTCAATTTTAATAATTTGGGCTTAGTAAAAAAAAAAAAATCGGTGAGTTGGAAACGATATTGCTGACTAGGCGCTCACTCTTTTCACAAAATTCACGAGAACTTGACCCTTTCATTTCGCAATGTCAGCAAAATCGCCTAACCGGCAAAACAAGTTCGTGGGAATATTGAAGATTTGTGAGGCGTGGCTTTACCAAATAAGGAAAGATTTCATACCACGTGATTTAGGTTAACCAATAAAATCAATGAATTGTGGGAACTTTTTTGTAAACATTATAGTAATTGGTAGTAGTACCTCTATGAAAAGGTGCAAAAGATGACGATTAAACGTTCTTTCTGCATATAATACTGCATTCTTTGTTAAAATAAAAATAATTTAGGTATTTTTATATGTATTTTGCAGATTTCTAGTCATATTTTTGCAATTATATTGGTTGCAAATAAACAGAAATTGATTGAGAAAATGTGTATGATCTCTTATTCTCCTAACTGCCTTATAAGGAAATTGGCAAGTCGTTTTTTTCGGAAACATCCAATGAAATACATATTATAAATCCACTCTGCATGAAAATCATGAGTTTCTAGAGACCATGCTTGTTACTATCCCTATATAAACCCATACCCAGTAGTTTCCCCCCAAAATTGAGTTCTTTACACACTACAAGTAGCAGGCATGGCAGAGAGAGAGAGAAAAATTGCTGGAAACTTCAGAGCTTCGCAGAGTAATATCCTTGACTTCACCTTTAGCGACTTAGAGAATCCATGGAACTTCTTCAGGCTGTTTATGCGTGAGGAGGCTCAAGTCAATGAATGGTGCAGAAAAAATGGCCTCCTTGTTACCCAGCTACCTTGTACTTCAAAGAAAAAAAATGGCAGCAGGAGCTCTGAAGGGGAGAAATGTAATGGAAACATGGTATTGAGAGAGTCAGCAGCCCGCACTGGAGGGGAGATTTTGCGCTGTACTAAGAACCGGAATCATCAAAAGGCAATGAGGGTGAATTCTTTCTTTGAGGGCTCAACGCTGACCATCCCAGATTGCATGCTTTTTATTAAAAGTTATTTGGACAAGCTGACCTTGCTGCAATGCTCCAGATTTGTAGGCATAGCATATGGTACAACAGCTGTAAACTGGGGTTCCTTCGTGAGAGAAGTCTTCAAGGAACATTTCTACAGAAATACGAGGTTCAAGAAGCTGTCAGGCACGGTCGAAATTGATGAATCCCTCTTTGGTAAAAGAACCAAGTATCATAGAGGAAATCCACATGGGGGAATGAAGGTATTTAAATCTATAATTAAGATTATGATAATAAGTGATAATACATTGTTTAATATGGTTACTTCTGTTGCATATACAAATATTATAAGGCTAAAGTTTAAAACGATGAATGATTAAAATAGACATAGAAAAGTATTATAAAATATAAAATACAGTTACACATACAAAAAAAAATATTAGGATAGATGCTACTGCTTACTTTTTCTTAATGCCCCTTGTTTTATTTTGCAGGTCTGGATTTTTGGGATGGTTGAGCGTGAGTCTAACACCATCATCATCTACCCGGTAGCAGATCGTACAGCAGGTACTTTAATACCTCTCATCCAAAGACATGTTGAACCTGGTACTACCATTTACAGTGATGGGTGGACCGCCTACTGTGACCTAAATGACCTTGGGTACCGCCACTTTACAGTCCTCCATAAATACTCCTTCAAAAAAGTTTACAGGAATGTCACAACTGGGGTGGAGGAGGTTGTCTGCACAAATCAGATAGAGGGAGCCTGGAAGCATGCCAAGGAGCATTTTCGGCGCATGTCTGGGACCAAGGTTCGACAATTTGAGGGGCACTTGGCTGAGATCATGTGGAGATCAGAAAAGAAAGGGAACCTGTATGGTGGATTTTTCGAGACAATGAAGACCATCTTCACCCTGGAATCTGCCCCTGACTACCAGTACACCACTCCTCTGTTTGATTCTTGGACCATGGACGCGGACTCAACTGTCGCTCCAGTTAATACTGATGCTGAAATCTCTACAAGTGAGGCTGAAAGTGACGACACAGAGATTCCACCAAATCGTTTCCGGGAAACACCCCTGTCTTCCATCAAGAGTACAACAACTGATGAAATTGCCCATGATATCATTGGTTCAGACACATCACCTCTATCAAGTGCCGCCTCCACTAGAGTCCTCAGAGCAGCATCTCGTGGTACATCTGTAAATCCGCCAATCGTCATCTCTTCTTCTTCAGCTGATGAGGCAGACAAGACTCTGACCGAACCTGGACCATCAACCTCTGGACCATCCACATCTGGACCGTCAAAAGCCAAATCAAAAGTTTCTCTTAAAAAAAAGAGAGGTGGAAGTCCTAAGTCCAAAGTGACATCTAAAAAAGAGAAGATCTGTGCTCCTGTGGGGTTTGAACCTGTGAACATTGTCCCAGAGCCTTCTAAGAAAGAGAAAAGAAAATCAAACCCCTATTCAAAGTCTGCCTTTGTTTGGGCATCTGATGATGACGATTTCATGTAATAAAATTTGAAAATACTTTTTTTTTTCTTGGCTTTTTATGTTTTATTTAGATTGACGTATATCAGTATATGGTAATGCTTGAGTTCTGAATGGTGTATTGAATGGTTTGTCCATCAATTTAATTATTTTAAGTACTTTTCTAAATATTATATTTCTATGTTTATTTGCAAAATAAAAAGTATAAGAATTACATAGAAATACGATATTTAAAAAAAATACAAATTTACACAATACATTAAATACGCCATTCTGAAATTGCAAAAGAAGAGAAAAAGTTCTTTAAAAAAGTAGTAAAATCGAGGAACCATGAAATTAAATAAAAATAGATATAATGTTTTCATCTGCTGGTGGATCAAGAGAAAATATGTAGGGAATACTTACGATATTTGATAATTTTCTCGCATGCCACCATTAACAATCTTGTCAAAACGACGCTATCTTCATATTTAGAATAACGAACCCGATGAATATTATCAATTTCATAAGTCATACTAGTCCCCAAAACTTATACGCAACGCGTTGCAGATAACAGGATATAGCCATAAAAAGTACTCATGAAGATTTATTGATTGATTGTATATTGTTCAACGTCCCTCTCATATGGAGACGTGGCACCACTTGCCGTAGGAGGGCTTCAAATTTTGTCCTATATTCGACACTCAGGGCTATTTAACAGGGAGGGGTCAGTTGAGTTGCTTACATATATTAAATTAGAGGGGGAAGTTGAGTTTCGTTCGAAGTCGGATGGTAATGACCGAGGGACGATATCTTTATCAGATGATTGAGTGCGGTTGTGCCTATTTCTCCATGTGCTCCAGATAGGAGTTCTCGGCCCCGCTGATCGTAAACATCGCTGCGCTAGCTTTTGATCTGGAGATACCTCACGATTAATTAGGTTGCAAAAAAATAAATCTTATTATTAATAAACAATTGAACAAAACATCAATTTTTTATAAAGTGTATTTATATTCCACTAATATTATTACAGGTAAGCATTTGACCTCTCAGTAGTATTTCAATAGAGAAAACCGTATGACCATGAAATTAACAATTTATTTTTGTAGTGTTTATCTTAATTAGAGAAACAGTTGGAATTGGAAATATAGTTCATAACTACTTATGTATCAATTTGCAGTTTTTGTTGCCAAGATCTCAAATCTTTGTTCCAAATATGAAGTGGACATTGTTGTCTATTAATGCAATATCTCCTGTCTTGTCATTGCATGCAATTGACATGCAGAGTTGAGCGAGGAAAATGTGCCCACAGACAGTGACCGATGCTGGACTTGACAGAGTTGGAGAAATGGGGGGAGAAGGGGGATGGAAGCAGATTTGAGGTTGCACACAAAGCCATCTTTCCATGCAGACATTCTGTATTGTTTTTTAATAATTGAAAGAATATGAAGTTACGTATTTAAGTAATTTTGAGTAATTAGAAGCAAAAAAATGTTGAACGTTAAATTCTTTGTCTGCCATCCTCCATTTTGGTAAGACAGGCAGGTACTCTTTTGCTCCTCTCATCAACACCATAACTAGACTGTCGAAGGGATGCCTTGGGTTTTCTCTGCCTCCTTAGTGACCCAAGGCCTATCAAATCATCAAGAAAAAAAAATTACTGTGAACTTAATAATGAAAAGTGTTTTTGATTATAAAAAGACATTTCAGATCCCTAGTTTTTAATCCAATATGTATAAAAACAAATAAAAGATGTATGTATTATAATCCTTATGGTATCCAATGGCGTCTTCCTCATCCACTCGTCAGGAACCTACAAAAGAACATGCCTACAGTGTAATTCCTTTAAACATCGTGATGATTGATTGATTGATTGTATATTGTTTAACGTCCCTCTTGAGAATTTTTCACTCATATGGAGACGTCACCGATGCCGGTGAAGGGCTTCAAATTTAGACCTATACTCGGCACTCAGGGCCATTGAGCAGTGAGGGTTCTTTATCGTGCCAACGCCTACCGTGACACGGGACCTTCTTTTTTAAGGTCATATCCGAAAGACCCGTGATTTTCACTTCTAGTGCCGAGCGCTTGGCGAAGGAACAATCACTACCTTTATTTACGTGTTAGGTATGACGCGGTGCCGCGATCGAGAATCGAACCCGGGCCTCCCGATCACGAAGCGAACGCTCTACCACTAGGCTACCGTGACCGGTAAACATCGTGATGAATTAATACATTAAAAATAGTTATGAAATAGATAATATGTCTCAAATATTTGTATTAGCGATATTTTGACAAGAGAGCAATACTCATGATTCAGTGCTCTAAGGTTTATAATCACCCCTTATCTCGATTACTATATTTTTCAGACTTGTTAATTTCAAATGAATTTTATTCATCAAAAATTAAAGTAATTGCATCACGAAAAAATCACTATTTTTCACATAAAAAATGAAACATTTGATTTTATATTAGATCGGGATCGTCCAGATGAAACGATAACCCGTAACATAATATCAAAATTTAAAATAACTTCTTAAACGAAAAAGTTTTTATTTGAATTATATGTATATTATGTTAAACTTACGAAGAAAAACATACAAAATGCAGTTTAATTCCATTAAACTATTAAATTTTATAAGCGTACTCTATAGTACTCTAACGTTCAAGCGAACTCTGTCTAGTTTGGCCCCTACCTCTCTGATTTAATTCCGGAGCTGCTGCTGATAAGTGCGGGTCTATAGCTCGTCCTGGCGGCATGTTTGAATTGTTATCATGCTCTTCGTCCTCGGCATTAGAAGTGAAAGGCACGGGTTTCGGATATGACCTTAAAAACCTAGGTCCCGTGTCACGGTAGGCGCTGGCACGATAAAGAACCCTCACTGCTCAATGGCCCTGATCATGAGTGCCGAGTATAGGTCTAAATTTGAAGCCCTTCACCGGCATACGTTGAAGTCTCCATATGAGTGAAAAATTCTCAAGAGGGACGTAAAAAAATATACAATCAATCTTGATTAGTCAGGTGTGCAAAGTTTCCCATCGATGATGTTTATCGTAAATGAGTTGCGTTTTCCTCTCTTGTTGTTTTGCAGCTTGAAGTTATTTCCTTATTTTCATTAATTTCACGGTGAAATGTTCACTAATTCAAAACTGTATATTTTCTTCTTCTTACTATTTATATGCTGCCTTCATCACCATTTCCCTTTCCTTGAACAGAACAAATTTAACAACAAATGGCATCACTTTGCCGGGTATATGTATATTGCATACCATCCTATGAACTCTATGAAAATCTACATTTTAATTTATCTCTAATTTTTCTTGCACACTTTTTTATTTATTTCAAATTGACAATTTTCATCTTTAGACTTAGGAATTCTGTAGAAATCAGATTGTCTCTCATTGTTCGAGGTTCACTCTTGTTTTGTTTCAGTTAACAAAATGCCTCAAAGGTTCAATTCAGATTTTATTCAAATTCAAGGGCCTGGAGCAGACATCATATATGGTTCTCTTGTGAGACATTCTGTGAAAGCTACACAAAATAGAAATACAAATTAATTCATGTAGATTCACAACTTCATGTAATATAAATCAAAAACTTCCAAGAAACTTATATAGATTCATAGGTAAACATTACACAAATTAATCCTGACATTTATAACTTATATTTGAGTTTCTTCTGTAAATTCTTCTACACTACCAATAGTTAAGCAACACAGTATCAACTTGTTCTACTCAAAAATCATTAAATTTTTTGTAAAATTTAACTTTAAACTGACTTTTTAACAGCTTGTGTATTTTATATCTAAAAATAGCATCGACTGCGAGTTGCAAGTACAGCATAAACAAAAATACTTATGACATGCACAATAAAATGATTGCATAGTAAACTGCAAACTAAATAATCTAATATTCAGACATTTTCAATTATAAAATTTACATGTTTGCCGCTATATAACAAGAAATTTGGTTGATACATTTGAGTGCATGAACCTTGTGCAGACTTCCGGAAATGCCGTTATACAAACAAAAATGAAAGTAAATAAAGATGGACATCAATTTCCGGATTCGTCGGGTGTGGTAACATTACACTCCCCGTCACTAAAATTATGTAACTCTACCAAATATCAGTATTCGAAACAACAATTATACACAATAAAAGATACAGTTTACTGTGCTTCACAAACATTTTCATCAAATGTCCTCTCACGACACATTCCCACTACTGTTTGTTTGGTACAAGAAGCTCAAATTCTGTCACTGGGCGTTTGAAAATCTTTCTGTCCATGCCAATGCGAACTTCTATCTTACGGACACGCGCATCATCACTTGGATAAGTGTTCTCCACAATCCCCATTGGCCAGTCATTGCGATGAAGTGTCTTGTCACGAGGAAGGACTACATCACCGACTTGAAGATTTCTTTCGTCTTGTTGCCATTTCTTCCGCTGTTGGAGTAAAGACAGATACTCCATGGTTCATGTTTTTTGAGCATGTATTACGCTTCTATAAATCCAAAATTATCATTTGCTGTACCAAAATAAAATCTTTCAAGGTCCGTAAACATGGCGTACAAATTCAAGTTGTGGTGAAGACATACAAGAAAACCCTCATCATTTGATCATACTGAGTATTATTGGATCAACTCATGTCTTGCACATCTACATTTGAATTCCAGGTAAGAAATGTTCATAAAATAGCTTTTACTGATATTTGAGCCGAAATCTATAAAGGAGTTGAACCCCTTTGCTAAGGCATTTGAATTAGATTCTTTCTTCTGAATATGCTCGTCTAATGAACTGAAAAATTATCCGATACTTGTTATGGTTTTCAAGGCAAGTTGACATTTTTACACATTTGTAGATCTACCCATGCCCCCATTCAGGCCATCACCCCAGTATTTCAAAGTTATGCAATTTGACTGGCTTTTCCTTGTATTTAGCAATGTTAACCTACAACCACAGCATCTATAAACCTGGTAAATTTAATAAATTCCTTATACTGGAAAACATGATGACAAATTTTCAATTGTTATTTTAGAAAAAT